CGCGCCGTGCGCAGTCGGATCGAACGCGGCTCCGCCTGGTGCTGCAGGCGGAGAGCGGTGTTTGTGGGGGCTGCGGGCTCAGCGTCGCCTTTCCGTCCTGGAGCTGAAGAAAGTCAGTTGGTCTCTCCTTTGTCTGAACCTACCGCCAAATCATTAAAAGGCCCCTGCGGCTCTTCTGTGATATTATGAATGTGAATGATAAGTTTTCTTTAAAACTGTAGCTATATTGAGAAAGTTTCCATCTCTTTATCTGGGCCCCGGTCCGACAGAGATTTGCCTAATGGCAGGCTGCAGCTGGGATGCCCTCCTCCCAGCGCCTGGATGCCAGCTGCTCCTGGCATTGCAGATGCAGTCAGCGGTGCTCTGACTGCAGCTGCGACGTTCGATTGTTTCACTTTTACAGCTGTGTGCTTCAGAGTGTGTAGGCTCCGTGGAGGACATCTAGCAGATTCCAGATAGATTGCTTCCCTGGGACACTTGTTATAGGGTGTTGATCGGCAGACAGTGCAGATAGAGTTCTGGAAAAAAATGTCTTTTTCCTCTTAGAGGCTCCCTGTCAATCTTGTATTCTTGTTGTAGACCACTGCCCCATGGCATTCGACCAGAAACAGCTGAGGTTTGCCTGATCACAAGGGATGAACCAAATTTATCAGCAGAACAGACTGAAAATCTGTACAGGAAACTTTTAGTCCAGAATGGGACCAGGAGTGTTAGCCAGGTAAGAGAGATACAATATGGCACAGCGCGCTGCCATCATGTTTTGTACCAGTGAAAAGGGAGAGGAGCTGTTGCTTCCTCCTGTTGAATGTTCTTATCTCAATGGTGCTAAGTTAATGATCTCTAGAAAGATTTTTCTAACAATTCAAACAACAGTTTTTCTAAACTTCAAAATTTACTCAATAATTTTTTCAATTTGAAACAGGATCTTCAGTGATCAGATGTAGTTGCTAGATAAATGCTCAATATTTAATTTGAATGAGCTACTGGAAAAACAGTGTCAAAGAATATTTGAGTTCTTTGCAGCTGGATTGTCTACGCTACTAGCAGCTAAAGTAGAAATACAATGTTGTAATTTTATTTAAGCTTGATTTAGATGTTACCATGGACTCAAGTTCTGTTTGGTGATTTGCAGTTACTGTGCAAGGTACTGTGTCCTTTTTCTACTAATTGTCTTCAGCGTTCTGAAACGGCGCCCCGACAAACGACTGGCTGTGCACGTTAATTCTGCGCACTTGTGAGAAGCGTTCTGGGCTGTGTTTTCAGCGGTGAGGACTAAACTGTCACTTGCATTGCAGATCATCTCATACAAAACTCTCAAAAAAGAGTACAAACTGTTTGAAGCAAAGCGTCGCCTCCTGAACAGGTTTGATCTCTTTCTGTCTGATGAGCGGATTCGAAGGCTCTTGCCCTCACATCTAGGGAAACACTTCTATGAGAGGAAAAAGTAAGTCTTTAAATTCTGTATATCCACTTTGCATTAACTTTTTTAAGATTAGTCTTCTTAGTAATGTTTAGGTTGGTTGGGCTTGGTATTGCTTTGTTTAGTTTGTTTTGGATTTTTAAAATAATTTTAATTCCACCCATTTCTTTTTTTAGGGTACCTTTATCTGTAAACCTGAAAGCCAAAAATCTTGCTAAGGAACTACAAAAACATATCCAGGGGACTACGCTCCCGGTTACCAACAAAGGGTGCTGTTAGTAAGTATGAGTAGATTCAGAGTTCACTTTGTACCTTTTCACAGTTGTACCTTTACAAATTTTTAAGTGAGTTGTTTTTATTCCATTAATATATGAATAAAAGAGATGAAGGGTCACCATTCCAAACGTGGGTCATTTTGCACCTTGACTTGTATAAAGAAATGAGTTCTGCTTACTAAGTTTTACTGTAAAGTTTTACGTTTTGTCTCATTTTCCTTATACCTAAGGAGTTTCTAGGCAACTGTCGCTGCCAAACAGCACACAGAATCTTAGACAAGTATTACTGTTAGCTTAGATAAAACTACCTCCAAAATACTCTATTCTTTTAAGACTTTTTTCACTTAGTATGCATCTAAATTAATAATATGTTTAGTAATATAAGGCAGAAGTTGCATAGCCAAATACAGAAAGATCAGTACAGGTAAAGCTGTTCTGCTATTACAAAAGACTGCAGTCCTCTATGAAAGTTCAGATAATTGCTCATAAGTGAGCTTTTTAAATCTCTGGAAATGCCTCAGAACAAATAACTTGAAGTATGTTTATGTGCCAACATGTAAATATTTCTCTTCTTTCAGTACAGCACGTATAGGTCACACTGGCATGAAAGCTGATGAGATCCTGGAGAACATCATTGCAGCAGCAGGGGTGATTGCTAAGAAGTTACCAAAGGTACTGCTGATTAAGGCCAAGTCAGTTCATAACTCAGCCTTGTTGTTGTTTTTACTTAATACGCTGTTTTTGTGGTTGCAGAATTGGAAAAATGTAAAAGTTCTTCATCTCAAAACGCTTAAATCGGTTGCACTTCCGATTTTTACTGCAAATATCTCCAATTTGGATGAGCTTGACAGAAACCCATCTCTCAAAAAAAAGGAAATAAAGGTAAAGAAAAATTAGGCCTTCAAACTTTCCACAAAACCTACTGGAACAACTAGTTCTTTGGCTTCCTTTTTTGCATTGTAGCGTCAGATGTGTTGGGTTTAAACAGGCGTTTATGGCTGCAAATGGGTTAGCTGCTCCCAACTCAGAGCAGTTCAAATAGTAGTACTGATGAAATGGTGGAGACTCCCGGTTGCAAAGCAAACTGGAAATAAGTTAAGCATTTCTAGTCCTAAACTATAGGGAGCTGAGATTCATTCTTGGAACTTTTGCTTGTATTGTCTATTCATATTTGCCTTCTGAAAATATACTCATTAACATACATACATGGATTTGGACCATGCATCCATTATTTGTTGGCTAATCAGTGGCATCTGAATAATTCACAAGCTCGCTCATATATATCCGTGTATATGAGGGAGGCTCACCTACTTTTTAAGAAAAGAAAATAATCAGCTATTCCTTTGTACCAAGTTCTGCTTATTATGTTATTTTATCTAAAATAAATTTGGAGCATGCATAGTCTATTTGAAGACTCTAATCTTGACGTCATTTACTTATGAGCTATTTATTATAAACTTCTGAAAGTAATGCGTTTTTTAAAATATTTTTACATATGGTTGACCAGTCCAGATCTATTGAAAAACAACATTTAAATTAGTGTTGCTAGACTCTCTCATTTTTAACCATATTAAAACAATTATTGTACATTTAGAAATGTTACGGAGATTTGTCTGAGATACACTTCCAATTAATTCTAGAAGGGAAAGAACAAGAAGCCAAAGAAGGCAGCTAAAAAACTGAATTCAAGTCAAGTCACTTTGACAACTGAAAGCAATGCTGCTGCTGCTACCCAAGAGCTTGCTGTGAAAGAAAAAGCAGCAGTAGTCCAAGGAGCAGGTGATGATGATGATGAAGAAATTCCACAACTGGTGCCTCTGCAAACAACCACCTTAACTGAGCTGAAGGTAGTTGTTTAATAACGTTGAGAAACTTGCATTTCAGTTAAAACGAAACTTTAGTTTTGAACTGTTAAAGTAGTCCATTGCTTCTTAGGAGACTGGAACTGGATTTCTTGTGAATATATCATGAAAGGGAGAGTTAAATATATAGGAGGTGGTTTAGCTGGAGGGCATTTTGGTTTTGAGTGTGTGTTTTATTTTTTTGTAGTTAGCCCCTCTTAGAGACAAAGGAAGTCAGTGGTTGTTGTCCTGCTGCGAATTTTTCTGAATAGCAGCAGTTTTGTCTAGGTTGAATAACAAGCCTGAAGTCAGAAGAAAGGGTGAATGTTTGAGAAAGATCTTCATACTTAATTGAGTAAATAGTATTTTTTTTAATACAAAATTTATTGTAAAATTAAATTCTAATGTATTTTAATGTATCATTTTCTGCCTGGAGTGCAAAACTTTAAGAAAAACAAATAACGCTCTCTAGGATAGTAATATGCAACATTGAGAATCTCATAATGTAAATGGAAAACTAGCAACTTGCTTGAAATTCTTCACAGACTTATTGTGGATCGTGTCATTACTGTGTCTGCAAAACCACCAGACTGACAATACACAACATTTAATAAATACCTGGGAAGGGTGTTTGGATGAATAAAACAATAACAATTACAAATGTAACTTATACTACATTTGTGACTGGAGCATGTCCTTAAACTCTGTACCTAATGAGTACTTAACTGTACTTAAACAATGTTGCCCAAACTAAAACTGTGATTATGTGCTGGCCCACCAAACAAACAGTCGTACAGCTTGCTTCAAGCTGCTCTAACAACACAGGTCTAGGTTAGCTCATGTGGTGTGATCGGCAGAGGCCTGGAGCAGATGCAGCTGGAGTTGGGTTGTATGAACTGTTCTGATGGCAGCAGCCTTCTTTCATGAGGGCCGTTTGGGAATGGACCTAGTGCACAAATGGGAGTGCAGTCAGTTTGTGTGTGTGCAGCGGGACTCTACTGAGCCTATTAAGCCTGGAAATGCGGCAGGAAGAGGACTGTGGTCTAGGTCTCTGCCAGCAGAGGTCAGTGACTTGACTGGCCGAGGGGATCCTTGCATCTGTTAAACCTATTTACTTTCTTACTGTTTTGTTGATTTTTTTTTTTTCATTATTTAGTTCTGTGTTTAATCTTCTGCTTCTAGACTTAAGCATGAACAGATTATTGGGGCTAAAGCACAGTTCAGCTGATAGAAAGCATTTGTCATTTATAATGGTTTTTGTTGATCCTTCTCCTCGAAAGGTGTTTTTTAGGTGGAAGGGTAATATTTTTTTGGTGTCTTACATACAGAAAGTGGAACCAAGTCCAGAAAAAGGTGACAATGTGAGCAAGAAAACTAAAACACTCCTCAGTAAGAGAAAGAAACAGCCTCTAGCTCTGGAGACTCCAAAAACAAAACAAAGTTATAGAAGAGTGTGCAGACTTGCAGACATCACCAAAACAGAAAAAAGCCAAGCAGCTCAGCATGCTGAAGGAAGCAAAGAAAGAAAAAGAAATTAAAAAGACTCCCAAAAAGCCTGAAGCAAAGTCTTTTCCAACATCCAAAGCTGGCAAATCACTACAGCCAGCCAAGAAGTTTTCAAAAATGCCAAAGCAGACACCCCAGAAAGTGCACAGGCCACAGTCAGTGTGAACGTTGTCTGTTGTAACATATAGTTTACAGTGTTTATATAGTTATTCACTGGTGTCTTTTTAGTAAAAAAATACATTGATGAAGTAAAATAGCTTCTTAAGAAAATCTGATCCCAAGAGCTTTTTTCACTGAGACCTGTAAATGATTCATTTGTGTTTCCATGTGACTGATGAGCTGGAACAAATAAACTTGTGATCTTAATTGGCTCTGTTTCCTAATTTTGATTTTTTCCTGGCCCAAACTAAAAGCACTTAAAGAATTTAAGTGTCAGAGGGCAGGGAGGGGACTGTTCCAGAAGGAAAGCTGAGCAATATTGTGTAAGTGACATCTTCGTCAAGCTACCTTAGTTCTGGAACAGACAAGGGCTGAAGCAAGAAGCATGCATACCAAGGGCAGCAGTCTATTTAACATGTGATTTAAAATGTTAAATAGTTGTTACCATTTTTACTTAAATTGTTCAATATAATGAACACAGGGTGACATTTGTCAGTCATATTCCAGATAATTAAGTTAGCAGCCTGGTAACAAGCCAAACAATGTATTTTTTTAGCTATTTTTATCTAGGGTATTTGTATGCTTAAAAAAAAAAAGGACCATTTTACTTTTATTGTTTTATGCTTTGACCATTTGTGATGTCAAGAAAAATCTCCTTACCTTCAGTTCTGGGCCTTATTTCTGCTACTAGATCAACCTGAGTCAATCCCGGTGTGCTGGTTCCAATAGTTTTGTTTCTTCCATCTGAAAAATCACCAAAGGCTGTATGAACTTGGAGTGTGCCAGCTCGGCTACGTAAGCTTAGCTCTCTTAGATACAAGGTCCTCGTCACCACAGACCCATCTTCAACCCCTCTGACGCCTGGCAGAAGAGCCGGCTGCGCCAGCCGCCCAGACGAGCCTGGGGAGAGAGGAAGGGGCCTGTCGGGGGCGTCCGGCACCGCTGGCGGGACGAGGCTAGCGGCAGGAACCGGGTCGCGGCAAACGAGGCCTCAGCCACCGTCAGAGCAGCCTCAGGTGAG